AAAAGCTGCATGTTCAGCAGGGAAGGTGACCCGGGGAAACCTTTAATTATAAATGGATGGGTAGTTAATGTGTCAGAGTTAGTTTTTTTGTTTTGAGATTGCTATCAGAACAACCTCCGACATCGCTCACCCCTCTCTAATGATGTATTCAACAACGAGAAGGTGCTCCGGCTATAACTCATCTCAAGATGATGTGTATCATCCATTCCCCGCTTCCCCTTCCCTTCATCCAATAGTTGGACCTACTGCAGTATCTGCCAGAATTGTTTTGTCGATTGTTTTACTGCTACCAGCTACCGTCCATCTCCTCCCCTACCCATTTATGGTTGTTCCGTGACACCCAAACGCACCTACAGTCTCCTTCTCGTGAACCCAACCACTAGCCTCTCCCCACTTCCCCAACTGCCACAAAGTCTGATCTCCCTACTTCCCTGTCCCCCCAATCCTCTACAATCACCATAACTCCCCTCCTTCATCACAGTCGCAACCCCAAACCTTGTTAAGTCAACCTGCTCCTGCACCCTCCATCCAAAGTCATCAACTCGCTTCCACCAGCTTTCCCTCCATCCATCTGCTCAACCCATCCCACCAACCACTAGGTTGCTGCACTGGTGCCTTACACCTCTTCGTAGCCTCTTCTTCCACAACCACCGCACCACCACGCCGACCTACACCCTAATTTGGGGTAATGTCGTTGTTTTTCTTATTTTCAAGTGTCATGGTTGTAATCGTTTCAATTACAATAAGAAAGTAATATTTTATTATGAGTTTTGGGTTGACACCAATATTAAGTAGCATGCAACCCCTGATCACCCTCCTCTCAACCAAAGTATCTCAATGAAGCTAGCATAATGCATCACAAAGTATCCAAACAAAACACAACCAACAAGGTCTTATTCTAGCCACCCTACAACTATAGCATCGATCACACCACAACTCATATACTTTCATGCTCCTAATAACAAATCTAAAAAATAATACATTTATCTGATTTAGCCTTAAAATGTCCTATAACGCCTTAAGGAGAAAACATTTTAACAAAACATGCCTTGATAGGTAGAAGTAACAAAATGTAGGATATTGAACACAATATTGTTTCTATAAATCTAATTTTATGATTTATATAATGGTTTTGGGTAGTAAAAAATAAGAAAATTAGACGTTAAGACGAGATAATCGACTTGAAGACTTTGATGAAGTTAGATGAATTAGGATTAAGAAAAAAAATACAATCATGGAAAGAGAAATGATCAAGGAGAGATAAAAAGCTAACTTTAATATTTTAAATGGGAAGTTAATGAAAGAAATTTTTTTAAAAAGCATATTTAAAAAAATCATAAGGACTATAATAAAATTATCAAAAAACCAAACAAATTAACTCTAAATAAGATGAATATATGAAAAACTTGAGACTCAAATGAAATATCTCTTGAAATTTTGAGAGTTATGGCATATATCAGAGTAGTTTGGTTAAGAAATATTTCAATAATTTCTCAAGAACTAAAACAATGCCAAAATATAGCAGAATACATTTTTGGATAAAACGTTTAAAAGTGAAAGAGATGTTCAAGAATGCAATTTTTACTAAGAAATCAAACTTGAAATCATACCATGTATAGCTATGGAAGGATAATGGAGCATATGCTTAGAAAATTGCATTCTTATGAAAACAAATTTGAATTTATGATATTAAGATCTGTTATGAAAATAATATTGTACAAAGACAATTAAAAATGTGGGAAAGGGCAAAAAAAATCTTCATATGGTTCTTATTTGTCTTGAAAAGGCATATAATTGAGTATCATGAGAACCGATATGATTTCTGGTAAAAAAAAGTGTGCATTAATGTATACATAAGCTCGCATTGAAATCATTATAGTGTGACCAAGGATTTCTCATCACAGTAAAATTACATCAAAGGTAAGCACTAAAGTTATATGATTTCGAGATGATTACAGAATCTATTCAGAGAATGAGAGTGGATTCCTTGGTGTGCGCTGTTTTAAAATGTCATAATTCCAATTGGTGTGATATCAAGTTAAAAAAAAAAAGCAATTGTTATTTTGATGCAAGAAATGCTTAGAATATGTGGGTCAGAGGTTAGTAAAACAAAGATTGCACATATAGTATGCATTTATAATGATTGCAGAACTGTTAATTTTAAATCAATATTTCTAAGAAAACAAATGAGGTAGAAGTGTAGTAGACTTAAATAACTTGAATCAGTTGTATGAAACATAGAATATAGATAAGGATATAGCTTCTAAAGCATAGATTGGGTAGTTACAAGAAAGGCGCAACTCAAGAAAAATAAAAAAATGAATTAGGGGCCATATTTAACCAATCAACTAATTTATATGATGCAAAAATAAAAACACAAGGACATAACAAAACATAATTGATGGACACCAACTCATGAAAACTATACAATATATGCATAGATTAGACATGAAATAACATAATAATTTTTAAAAATCGGATAAACTTCTTGTCAAATACAATAGATTTTCTAAATCAAACACAACAAAAATAATTATAAAATCATAACCAACATGTTTCAATACAAATAGATCATTAACAAGAAATTGTCTGTATATATTAATAATAACTTCAGCATAAACATCTTATACAACAAAAAAGGGAAAGCGTGGTAACATATAGTAGCACCAATGGAGTTGCCCTTTTTCATTAAAAAAAATAATAATAATCAAATTCTCAAAAGCTACTTCAAAACCACTAAAACAAAAAGCAAAATATCCAATGTGTGTCATACACTAATGCCCTTGCAGCAAAAAAATATACCTACATTCTCATCTACCATTATTCAACACAATTAGTGCTTGCAATCATAGAAAGTCCTATGGCACATCAAATAACATTGAAAATTTGAGTGCGAGTGTGAATGAATCAAACATGCATAAATGTGATTGACTGTTCAAGATGAAAATGGAAAGAAAATTCAGAGCATCCATTGAATTGAACTAATGCAACACAGACACATCAAAATATCCAAAGCCATATCTCAAACCCTAAACCAGGGACATGGTTCATCATGATCATCAAATTCACATCTTAAAGCATGAAGCAAAGCATACAATTGTGAAATCTCCAACATTCAAAAACACTCCACTTCCAAATTTGTTTTCCCAACCACTCCTCCCTCCATAAGTTGATTTGGCGTTCTTAGAAAACTCCAAAGATCTCTCTAAATCCATTGGTCAGCCCCCGGATACAAGGAAGGTTTTGAAAGATTGCTTGCTTAAAGAGAACCATTCCACTTTTGAAAATTGGCAAAACGAGTATTAGGTAATTGCTTTTTATTTTTTATTTTTTTACCTTATTAGTTGGACAAATCATTTATTGATATGAACACTAGCAAGTGGCTGCAACATTAAGCTAAATCAAGTATTGGCCTGCTATCCTAGGTTTACGAAAAATGAGTTATATAAATAGTTCATGATATAGCCATTGCTAATTAATAATGAATATAACCAAGAAAAACACATTATGATCAAGAAACTCAAGCTGTAAAACTGGGATCCAACGGCTGAGGCAAGTATCTCAAAAAAGTTATCTGCACAACAATAATTTAGGCATCATAATTATCAGATATTTATGTCAGCACTTTATAAAATAACAATCAAAATTTAATCAGGCAAAGTATTTAAAAAAAAAGAAGAAATACTTTACATAGCCTATTCAATTGATTTTAAGTGAATCATGTTTATCCATATACTACCAAAGCTGATAAAGCTACAATCATAAAGCTTCATTTTTTAAATAAACAAAAACTAAGGAGAACACCAAAAATTCCAACTATTTTCAAGTGATTATGAAGATCGAGTTAAAGCAAACAACCATACTTAACAAAATAGCATATTTACATAAAAACAATAAGAAAAATGGAAGTCTCCTAATAGTCATTCTCTGGTGGTCATAAAAGCATACTCATATGTGACAGAGAATATGACTTTTACCATGAGCACCCCATACCTATTAACACATGAGGAGCGGCTGCATGTATCACTAGAAGAGTCAATCAAAAAGTCATAAGGGATAACTGTCAAATTGCATTCCAGAAAAGTTTCCTAGCTGAAACAAAGAGCTTGAAAAAAAATATCATTAATTCTTCTCAACCAAAGCCCTAAGTTCAATTCTAAAGAGCTTATTTGATTTTTAATATCAATCTTTCATATCATAATAGTTTAAACAACTGAAGGTATAAGCAACCATTGTGGTCACAACCAAATGGGCAGATGGTGCAAGCCTAGGAACTTAAGCCTAAGAACATTCATATCTGTCAACCCTTAGAACAAGAAAGCCAAACCAGCTAGATCATACAATGCAAATATATATTGCAGAATGCTAAATGGAACCACATTGACAATGATGCAAAACTATATCTCGAATAAGGATAAAAGAAACAATTAAGGTTCAAGCCAAGCTCTCAAGCAGCTATGAAGGCCTTACCATACAGGATACTATCTAAAAATCTATGGTAAATAGTCAATCATGGGTCTATTATTAATCAGATATCTAAATAAGTAGCAGCAACCGTGTATATCACAAAAATAGGATCTAAGTCGTCCAATCCACGACCTCCAATAATCTCCTTTCAACTCCATGCCTCCAAAATCAATTCCTAAAAAAAGCAGCAACTTTCCATATTTGAAAAAAAAAACATCTGAGAATTTGAACAACTCAGTAATTTTCTTGCTGATGGAACAAGATGATGATCGAAGGCATCCTAAGCTATCGAAGAGTCACTTGATGCATTTCCAATCATCTTCGCAAGCACAGAACTCATCCATGACAAACAAAAGTATCTAAATCAAAGCCCTCCGTTCACTGCTGTTCATTGCCATCAACCAAGCAGACACCCAGCCAGTGATATTATGTGTTCTTAAACTCCAAAAAAAAAAAAAAAGCCCAGAAATTAAACACAGAGAACCTTTAAAATGCACAGGACCAAGAAGGAGAAGAGGAATCGGATACCGTACTTTACTCACCTTCTCGAAGTCAAAATACCCGATCCCATGACCAAGTAAGACTTCCATTCCATGCGCAGGCTACCCAAAAGCTCCAGCTACATCCATCGATCTGTACTAATAAACTCAACTTGTTCCTTCTGGCTCTCATTAATCTCGAAGATACAAGTGAGCTCTACGCAAGTCCTGGATCAAAAGACGACGAAAAACCACAATAAAGGTCAAACCTGTCGCTTGATCTCAGGAACTTCACAAGAGCCGGTATACCAAGCAGGGAGTCAAGGTTCTTTAATGCATGCAAGGGCGGCGGCTTTCGACTAAAAGGAGGTCGATTGGGCAAAGCCGGAACAAACGAAGAGAGAGAGAAATCTGTGGTCCGGCGCCTGGCGGGTAGAGTAGGAAAACTTGAAGAGGAATAACGGATTCCACCCCGACTCCATTAGTAGGAGTAGAAGAGCTAGGTCCAAAAAATAGAAGAAACGTGAGGAAAGCATTCGAAAACACGGGAATAGTCAAATACGGCGAATCGGCGATAGTAAAACGAAAAAAAAAAGTTCAACTAGCGGCTCGCGAGCGATGCAAGGATTATTATTTATTTATGATTAAAATATGTTAAATCAGATTTGAAGACTCTAAATGACACACGTGTTGAAGAATCAACCCGACGAATGCAAAGAGCTGCTGGTTAGCAATGAGCATTTTATCTAGCCGACCGAACCAAGAAAGCTCACGAATAAGTAGGTGAGGGCTTGTCACAATGGTAGCAAGCAAAAAGACAATCCGACAAGAAAGGATTCGGTAATAGTAAAGTAATCTTGACATTTACTTCGACTAACTGGTAGTAGAGAATCTTAAGGGCATTATCAATATTTCACATTATGAATTGTATTTACTGTAAATATGATAACAACAGTTATGTAAAGGGGGCCTTTTCAATGAAAGCTCGAGAAGATTAGTAATATTATACTCCTAAGACTCTTTTACTTATATATTTCTCTCTCCCTCCCTTCTCCCTATACTCTATTCCATGAGTGTGATATACAAACAAGTTTGGGTTCAGCTCCTTGAAGGGCGTCGTGAGTATGGATCATATCACAAACAAAAAGAAAAGTATCTCAAGGAGAAGAATCCATCTTTTGGAAATCAACGTCAATATGACTCGTACACATGAGGTTGTGACTCAATAGATCACCGACCTCAAGGAATAGAAGTTAGATGTAATCAGATATGATCTTTCTACGAGAGAATGCAATCACAACGACTAATGACGCCTCGTCACCCAGAAAGAACGACAGTCATGAGTGGTATATGAGCCCCTGAACCAGATTAAGAAACACACTACCTGGACAGTGCAACTTATGTGCCTTTCAATCATTGAAGATATGGTCATGTAGAAGCTCCACGACACATATCATAAAAAAATACCTTTTTACAACGAATCTCTAAAGTCAGGCTCTTGCAACGCTTCAAAATCTTGGCTTTAGATTCTTATCCGGGACGTTGGATTTGACTAATCATATATCCCCTTTAGAGTTGATTGAATGATTATTGACAATACGAGATGTGCTCAATTGTCACATATTCTTCACAATGCTTAAATAGTCAACTCATCATTAGTTCAACAGTCTGCCGTTGGGAGTGATTACACCTACACAGATTTCAAAAGAATGTTCATAGCCCAGTTCACTAGTGCGTAGATCAACAACAACAAAGCCTCAATCCCACTACGTGGGGTCGGCTACATGAATCATTTTTCTCCATTGCGTCCTATTTAGTGTCATATTTTCATTTAGTTCTAGAAAATTAAGATCATTTTTAATACAAGAAGCCCAAGTCTTCCTAGGTCTACCTCCGCCTTTCTTAACACAAGTCGAATCTAAAACATCTACTCCCCTAATTTAATGTGACCAAACCATCTAAAACGACTTTCCCTAATTTTGTCCATCAGAGGAACTAAACCAACCCTATCACAAATATATTCATTTCACATTTTGTCTCTAAGTGTAAAGCCACTCATCCACCTAATCATTCTCATCTCGACAACACTTAACTTATTATTATGCTTCTCTTTTAAAGGCCAACATTCAGCGCCATAGAGCATTGTAGGTCTCACTACCGTCTTATAAAATTTTCCTTTCAGTCCAAGCGGTACTTTTCTATCACACAAAAGGCCCGAAGCATTCCTCCACTTTAACCAACCAACTTGAATTATATTATTTACATCCCCATCTATATAACCATTGCTTTGAACAACGGACCCAAGATATCTAAATCGTTCACACCTTTTAATAATTTGATCGCCCAAAGTCACACTTCTGTCACTAGAGCTACTACTACTAAAATTACATTCCATGTATTCAGTTTTAATTCTACTTAAATGAAGGCCTTTAGACTCCAATGTA